GTTACACAAGTTAGAAACCTTGGTATTATCTCTGATTCCCTTATTCCCTCCCTATTCAGTTTCATTGTTTTAAAATCTTATCTCCAAAATGTTTCTCAGCAAATATCCAGTGCAGTGTCTTTCTCATTCTCCTTCCCTGCCATCATTGTCCAAGCTCAGATTCTTTCTTTCCATTGCTTGCTTGGCTTTTAAAAAGTCTCTCTGTCTTCCTGTCTCCAATATTGCTCCCTCTCAATTATGTCCTCGATTTTGCTCTAAGAATGATCTTTTAAAAATTATGTCTTTAGTTTTGGATTTATTGCTATTCCATGTGGCAGGATGAATTAGTCCCAATTCCTGTCCTCAATGAGTTTATGATCTTCAGTCATTCGCATTATCTCTACCTTTTGGTTCTGAGTTCAGTCCTCTCTTTCTGCCATGCTTCAGCTGCCACCTCATTCCAACCAAGGCCAGTCACTGAGGAATGCAGAAGTGACAGCCCATGTGTCTCCGCCATGCTTAATTTTAGCTGATGACCTAAAGCATGCGGTTTGAAAGTCTGGGTAGAATGTAGACACAGGGTTATGGAATTGGACGCAGTCTTAGGAGTTAAAAAGTGTCCTTGCTCCTATCTTTCCTGTGTTTTGACATCTGAAGCTAGGAAGACTCTGCTGATGCCTGATGACCCTGATGAAAGCTAAAACGGAGTTAGAAGTTGATACTGCTGCCTAGGTCTTGTAGAAGACACTTATTTGCACACAGACAATGCTTGTAGCAGGGGTGAAATGGATCCAGGGTAAAAAGAGCTAGATTCTTTTTTTTTTTTTTTTTTTTTTTTTTTAATTTTTTTGACAGGCAGAGTGCACAGTGAGAGAGAGAGACAGAGAGAAAGGTCTTCCTTTGCCGTTGGTTCACCCTTCAATGGCCGCCGCGGCAGGCGCGCTGCGGCCAGCGCACCGTGCTGATCCGATGGCAGGAGCCAGGAGCCAGGAGCCAGGAGCCAGGTGCTTTTCCTGGACTCCCATGGGGTGCAGGGCCCAAGCACCTGGGCCATCCTCCACTGCACTCCCTGGCCACAGCAGAGGGCTGGCCTGGAAGAAGGGCAACCGGGACAGAATCCGGCGCCCCGACCGGGACTAGAACCCGGTGTCCCGGCGCCGGCCAGCAAGTGATTATATCTTGTTCGTAGAAAATTATTTAATATGTTTACATAAGTATACTGCAGAAATTTGCTGTTATAAATTAGATTTATCAATATACATCTTTCTTTTTACCTTTATTTAGTAAATATAAATTTCCAAAGTACAGTTTATGAATTATATCATATATCAAAATTCTTAACACTGAATATAGAAGTCAAATTTCTAAAACCTACTTTGACTACAAAACTTATTTTCTGCAAGGCAAATAACATGTTTTAAATAAACCTCTGTTATGTATCCTCATTTGTAATGATTTCTAATATAATTAACATATAATAATTTATTTCCTCAGTTGATTCTGCAATAATTATTTACATTGATACAAAACATAATAAATTCAGGACATGTCCCTGTTTTTGTTACAAAAATTAATTAAACCTGAAAATATATAGCACATTTCATTTAAACAGAAAAACAATATCTGAAACCAGAAAACTTGATGTATGACTCTAATGATAAGCACATATCATTTAAGTTGAATAATATTTCATATGTTCATCTTTTCCAATCCACATTATTATTTAGTTCTGTAAGAGGACAACTTAGAAGGCTTCCAATTCATCCCTTTTCCAAAACTCAATCTTTCATTTTTCGAATTATTTATTTATTTATTTTGAAAATCAGAATTATTGAGGAGAGGGAGAATCAGACAGAGAGAGAGAGAGAGAGAGAGAAAGAATCTTCTATCCACTAGTTTACACCCCAAAGGGCTGAAAGTGCCAGCAATGGGTCAGGTTGAAGCCCAGATTCAAGACCTTTATCTGGGTCTCCACATATGTGGCAGGGGCCCAGGGACTTGAGTATCTTCCACTGCTTATAAGAGACCATTAGCAGGGAATGGATCAGAAGCTGAGCAGCTGGATCATGAACTGGCATCTATATATCATGCTGGTGTTGCAGGTGGCAGTTTACACACTACTCCACAATGCTGTACCCAAAACATCACGTTTTTATGTCATAATCCTAAACGAAAGTATACAAAATGCAGGTTCCTCCCTAGTAATGAGGTTATGTTCTCCCCAAGCATCTGTTATTTCTTATTTAAGTTCCGTAATCCACATATAGAGTTTCTTTCATTGCCGTCACAACTTGCTTGCCTACCTCGCTCATCAAAATCTCATACCATTGTTCCTAGAGCTTTTGCCTCTCTCAATGCATAAAACCTGGGCTTCATTATAAGTAACACTAATTTTACCTCTTCATCAGAACTCTTAGGTGAACCTTAACTATTTAGTGAATATTTCTACCTCATTCCTTAAACACATGACACTATTCATGATTCACTGCCTCTAAACTGCCATAAGTTATTCATACAAAAACTGCTTACATTTGCATTCACATGCAACAAATACTGCACACAATTACGCAATAAGAAGAAGCTTTCTCACAACCATGAACACCTTGAAGTTGTAGGAATTGCATTCAAATGCTGAGGAGACCATTTGTATTTGCCATGTGACATTCATTTACTCAATGGTGTATCTTGGTTCCATTCACTAAATCGAATGCTCAGATGAAGAATATTTAAACCCATCTGTTCATTGTGATTCTGTATTTCAGACACTTTAAGTACATTATATATTTTGCATAAATTACTCTGTACTATGCAAGAGGCCTGTAACATTGAGACTTGTTAATTGTGCAAAGAAGTTTAAGCATTCAATATATTCAGTGGCATCAAACAAAAACAGCAACAAGAGTGTGACGATAAGTACAAGCTCTCATAGTATATGCAAATATTTTCAAGACTAGCTAGAAAATCAAACATATATATGTGAATTTCTTCAGAAAGGCCAGGTCAACTTGAAACAACAATGATATACTGGCAGATGTATGAGGAATGCAGCGCTTGAAGGAAGCTCCTAGAAGAAATTATTACAGAATGAGTAA